GGATGGATGGATGGATGGATGGATGGATGGATGGATGGATGGATGGATGGATAGACATTCAAAATTCAAATGTAGCTCACAAGAACTTGAGTTACCTCATATGAAATCAGTGTTTGGTATGCACAGATCACTGCAATAGCAGTTATGCCAAGAATCACCATTATCACTGCTGCAACCCCAGCAAAGTAGTCTTTAACCTGAAGTTTAGAGCTGGATCCTAAAGAACATTAAATACAAGAAACAAGGTTGGAATTAAGCTAATAAAAATACAAATAGGTATCCAAATACGAAATTCTGCCATTATGTTTGAGCCCCCAAAAGCCGATTGAAATAAATTATTGGCATTAAGTTTTATGTTTTAATTTTATGGGGAAATGCAATTTTGAAAATTACATTATTAAATCTAAAAGGCAGCCACTTTGTTGTCACAAAGTGTGGAGCCCTGGCCCCCTTAGCTCCCCCTCTGCCTAAGCGCCTGATCTATGGTAGTTTTTCTCTCAGGCCCCGTCTGCACTATGCCGGTTAAATTTGAATCCGAATTTTTATTTATTCGGTTAAGCCTACCATCCACACTAGTCTGGGCGAATCCGGAACAATTCTTCACCAAAAACAAATTTTTTCGAATACAGTCTCCAGAGTGGAACAATTTGAAAACGCCGGCTAGCTGTATAAGTGTGGACGGAGAACATTTCGTATCTGAAATTTTTCGAATATGATGACGTCATGATTATCATGAATGGGAAGGCTAAAAATTCACTGCAGGCTCAATTTCAGCTTCGATACACATGCTCAGATGTGCAATGAAGTGTTTTTGCTGCCTCTGATTGGACTAGTGTGGACGTGAAACATTTTATCCGTTTTCATGTGTGGACGGAAAACTTTTTTTTCGGTTTCGGTGTGAAAGTTGCGGGTTTAAATTTATCCGGCAATAGTGTGGACAGGGCCTCAGTGCATTGCCTATCAAAGTCTGTCAATATGATGTGATAGCTCTTTCACATACCACGTGAACAAAATTTTACTGTCTCGCTCCCAATGTTTTCAAAGGTAATTGTCATGACAAACTGTAAGAATGACCGCTTCTGATTAGCTTAAAAAATTTTGGCCTGAAAAACTGGGTACTGCGGTTTGAAAATTAAGACTGTATATAGCTATGTTTGGATGAAAGTTCTTTCTCAACAATTATCAAACTCATGAATAATTCATGAGGAAAACACAACAGAAATCACTACCGTGAAGAGTGTTGTAAATCTGATACAGAATTGTGGTCATTTGCATAAACTTAAATTTGGATTTTCTTGGCCAGATTCACTTTAATTTTGAAAATTTTAGTGTAACACAAAGGAACTAACCTAGACGTTTGATAAGTAATCTATAGTATTCGTGTCCATGTTGTATCCAATATACAAACTCTCGGCTTGAGTTTGTATATCATATACAACATGGCAGTCATACTGTATATATTACGCAATATGTTGTTTCATCTTGTCTTTGGCTATCATCATTCAAAGCTAATGCTTTTATAGCGATTCAAAAACAATAATACATGATGATGATGATGATGATGATGTTGAAAATAATAAGTAATATATACAGTATGAGTGGCCATGTTGTATCAGATATACAACCACGAGGTGTAGCCGAGTGATTGTATATCTGTTACAACATGCACACGAATACTGTATATGACTTATCAAATGTCTAGGTTAGTTCCTTCGTGCTTCACTAAAATTTTCAAAATTAAAGTGAATTTGGCCAAGAAAATCCAACTTAAAGTTTATGCAAATGAACAGTTTTGTATCCGATTTACAACACTTTTCACGGTCGTGATTTCTGTTGTGTTTTCCTCATGAATTATTAATGAGTTTGATAATAATATTTAAATCAACTTTGTTTAACAACTGCAGCAAATAACAGTTCACACTATCAAACCCTCAAAATGGGTTTTCTTGTGCCTTTATATATAACATACACAGCGATATGCATAAATTCTGATACTTTTGTTTATACATAAAAGTATATCAAAAGTATATTAGAAATTATGGGATACCATCTCTGATATTGTTATCAGAAAGCCCTAGTGATAGGCAACCCAAATAAATATCAGTGATGATATCCCATAATTTCTGATATACTTTTGATATACTTGTATAATACAAATTTAAAGAATCAGAAATTCTGCATATTGTGGCTATTCTTCGATTGCATGTTACGTCATCGCAGCCTCTCGGGGGAACGTTGGTGCCATATAACAAAAGATTTCTCATTAGCATCTATTGTTAACAGCACCACAATGGCCACCATGCTTTTGTTTTTTAGCTCTCTTGGGAATGCTTGCAACCCATCAAT